CCTCCCCGCTGCGTCAGCTGAGACTGGCCACCCTCGTCCCAGCCCACATTCCTCCGGCTGGCACCTGGGCACGAGGCAAGCAGAGGGCAGGGACCACGGCGCCTCCTTTCCTCGCTGCCCTCTCCCTGCAGCAGGAGCGCGGGCAGGCCCTGCTGTGCAGTGAGTGGGTCCTGGCTACTGCTGGGCGGCCATGGCACCGTGTGTGGTAGGTGCCAACATGCCACTTCTCCTGTGCCACCTCCTGGCTTGGCAGGCGGGTGCTGTGCCCCCGGGGGAGCCCACGCAGTCTCCAGCACCATGCTCTGGCCGCGAAAATGAGCTCTGGCCTTCAGCTGCCCTGCAGGGCTCCCTGGCTGGCCTCAGACGGGCACCAGGGTCCCTGCTGGTCGAGACCTGTTGGTTTCATACCCCCAGCCAGGGCTTAATTTGTAATGACAGAGTGGTCAGAGCTCAAGCTGTTTTTTTACATTCACAACTCACGTGCCAGGCCCAGGGGCGCCGGGGCTCAGCCCTTAGGGGGACCAGACAGCAAAGGTGAGAAATCGGGACAGGGGTGGGGGGTAATAGGAGCCTATATAAGAAGAAGACCCAACAATCGGGACTATCCCTATAAAATCAGGACACCTGGTCACTGTATCAGCCCTGCCAGGCCCGGGGGCGCCAGGGCTCAGCCCTGCCACAAAGGAAGTGCTGCTCCCAGCTCCATTGGCTCCTGACCAGCGTTCCCAAAGGAAAGGCTGGAGCCTACAGGTGCGGGAAGCTGCTAGAAGGCAGCCAATGGCCGTGCCCCAGATCTCAGCCCCCTGGAAAACAGCAGCCCCCCAGTGACCTGCACAGGAGCACGTAGGCAGGCAACATCCCCCCCCAAGGGCCAGCTCTGGGCTGCAGCTTGGGGCCTCCTCCCAAGCATTCGCCGTCCTCAGGCTCTGCTAACTGGGCGCACGACCCATTGGGCCCTGCTCCTGCAATTCCAGACTCCTGCCGCGTCCCACTGCCTGGGACCTTCCCCCAGGAGCCTGCCCCAGCCACTGGCACCATTAGAGCCAGGAACTGGTCTTAGCATCTTCCTCGGCAGGGAATCTGCTGTCCAGGCCCCTCCTCTGTCACTCACGCTCGCCTCCTGGCCGTGCCGCCCCCTCACCCAGCCCTGAGCTCACCCGAGAGCCGATGGCACAAGCTGGGAATCAGCCGGGACCTAAGGAACGCTTACAATGGTGCTGCAGGGGGCTCAGGAGGGGGACGCTTCCTGGGGCCAGCACCGACTCCAATGCCCCAGCATGGTACCAGGGTGCGGCCCTGCAGGGGGCACTTGTCCCTGTGGTCAATGCTGCTGACCCCACTGGCCCAGCACCATGCGTCAGATCAAATGCAATGGTGAGGGGCTCCTGCCTGTTAAAGCCCCCTGGTGCTCTCCGCCAGAGGCAGGAAGGGCCCTGGGTCCTGCCTGGACTCCAGCTCCTCTCCAAATGTCCCTGCACACCAGCCTTTCCTGAGCTGACGCAGGCTCCTGCCCACAGCTGCTGGGTAGGGTCTGGGCAGCTGCCACCTCGCCCGGTGCCGCTTGCAGGCTGCTCTGGGCCCGCCGTGCGGATGCCGCTGGAGAGTTCAGCCTTTGGGAGCTTTGTTCTCTCAAGGCAGCTGGACTGGGCAGAGTCCCAGCCCTGGCTCCGCCCACCCCCAAGCTCCCCCCACTCATGCCAAAGCTTGCTGGGTTCTCTAGCTCTGCAGCACTTCGAGCCGCTAGCCCCTGGCCTTGCCAGAGAGGGGGCATCAAGAGCTCTGCCCCCTGTACCACATGTGGCTCTGCTCACATGGGGAGCAGTGAAATGGGGAATGCTGACATTTGCACAGCCAGCAGTAAGCAAATCAACAGGGGCCAGGCCCACCTTGCTGGGCTGCTGCGTCCTGCTTGGAGTTGTGCTCCTGCTAGGGAGCAGCAGGCAATGCGCACACGACCTGTGGAACTCACTGCCAGGGCATGTGAAGGTGGAGCTGTAACTAGACACGTTCATGGAGGACAGGTCCATCAAGGGCTATTAAGCCAGATGGGCAGGGATGCAGCCCCACGCTCTGGGAGTGGAGATCACTTGATGATTGTCCTGTTCAGTCCCCCTGAAGCACCTGGCACTGGCCACTGCCGGCAGACAGTCCCAATCTTGTCACTCTCATTCAGAAAAGAGTTCTCCAGAGCCCAGCTCAGTCACGTCACTGTTCTCTGCCCCTCCTCTGGGGCTGCAGGTCCTGCTGGAGCTGGGCTGACCAGGACTGAGCACACCAGCCAGCTGCAGTGGGACAGCGATTTACAGAGTGGCATTGTACTTTCCAGATTAGTCTCCAGCCCATTCTTTACCCAGCCCGATTTGTGCTTTTACCCACAGCATCACGTTGAGCGGGGGTCTCCACTGAGCTATCAGCAGTGATGCCCAGGGTCCCTCTCTGAGCTGAGAGCTAACTCAGACCCCTGTAAGCCAGCTAAGCAGTTCAAATTTTTCCTTCCAAGGTGCATTATTTCCCTTTTTCAACATTGAGCTTAATTTTCCATCATGTGACCCATTCCCCAGGCCTGGTCAGGGCTTGCTGAAGTTCCTTAATCTTCTCTGAATAATTATGTTATTGCAAATGTTGCTAGCTGTCTGCTCACCCCCTTTCCAGCTTGTGATAAATGAAGGGGGGGGGGAGCTCCCTTTTATGGATACCCAGCCAGCCAGTAGCTATAAAATCCCTCTTAGTAGCTGTTCTCCAATTGCTCTACCTGTAAAGGGTTAAAAAGTCTCACTGTTGTGCATAGGTAAAAGGAAGTGAGTGAGCACCTGGCCAAAAGAGCCAATGGGAAGGCTAGAACTTTTGAAAATTCAAATAAGACTCCCCTTTTGTCTGTCTGTGGTGGTTCTCCGGGGAGAGGCGGACAGGACAGAGCTATGCTGTGAGACGCTTGGGCCACGTATGAAAAATCATCAGTATCATACCTAGAAACTACGCATTTGAAACCCCAGATATTTAAGTAGATCAGGAAATGTCTAGGAAGTCGTGATTAGATTTACCCCTTTTATTTCTTTATGGCTTGTGGATTCCTCTGTGCTAAACCCAGGTGCTTTTATTTTGCCTGTAATCTTTAAGCTGGACCTTAAGAAATCTATTCTTGATGCTTAATCCTTGGAGGGTTCCCCCAACCTCCAAATCTAGCAAATGCCTAAGTTCCCAGGGGGAATTAGCTTTCTCAGCTCTTCCGCAGAGGGGGGGTGATGGAAGGGCTTGAGGGTACCCCACAGGAAGGAATTCCCAAGTGCACCTTCCTGGGCTCTCAAAGGGGTTTTGCATTTGGGTGGTGGCAGCATCTACCAGTCCAAGGTCAGAGAGAAGCTGTATCCTTAGGAGTTTAATACAAGCCTGGAGTGGCCAGTATTAATTTGTAGAGTCCTTGCAGGCCCCCACCTTCTGCCCTCGAAGTGCCAGAGTGGGGAATCAGCCTTAACACAGCTCATTAGCAAATCTAGGACCCAACCTAGTCAGGAAGCTCCAGGCCCCACTTCTAACCTTTTGCTAGAATGTGAACTGTCTCCCCTTGTTCTTGGCTGTCTGTCCCCGGGCCAGTCTTTGCTCCATAACAATACTTCGCTCTCACTCCCTGAACACTTCGCTCCCCGCCTGGGACTTTGCCAAAGGTCTTTGAAATCTAAATAATTACATCAGCTGATTCCCCGTCATCTACTAGTGTCACCACAGCCAAAAAATCCTCATAGATTAGCAAGTTTTCCTTTACAGAACCCCTGCTGGCTAGACCCGGTCACAGCACGACCTACCAGGTATTCGATTATTAATCCTCAGTCCAAGCCCTTCGCTAGGCCCAGAGCTACGGCTTACTGGTCAGCCAGCCCCATCTCCCTCCGAACCTGGCTGACGTCTGGGTACATTTACTACCCTCCAGTCCGGAGCTGTTCTTACAGCAGTTCCCTGGGTCTGGGAGCAGCAGCTCTGCTAATTCACGCTTACGCGCTCTGAACCCTTGGCTTGACCTAGCCACGGGGGCCTGATGACTTAGTGCATTTTAAATGATCGGTTTGTTCTGGCCTCTCTTTGTCCGACCCCTCGCTCGCTGCTGGTGCCTCCCCTTTGCTGCCAGGAAAGAGCAGGTGGGAGGGAGGTGTCTCCACCATCCTCAGGGGGGACGACTCCTGCAAAGGAATCATTCAGCGTCTCAGCTACAGCCTGAATTGCTCCTTGTGCAACCAGCAGACCCCTTCCCTTGCACCTGTTTTGCTGCTGCCCAGGCAGACATCTTGGATTAACCCCTTTAGCGAACTGCTCGTCACACTCCGCTGGGGCCTGTCCCCTCCTCTGCTCCCTGGGGGAACTGCTGCATGAAGGGCCACCCTGACAGCCTGGATTTGTTTGGCTCAGAGCCGCGCCCAGGTGCTTCCCCAAGGCCCTGGTGGCAGACACCTCCTGGGACTCAGGAGCAGCAGTGGGGGATTGTCCTCCCCTGCAGCATCTCATGCCCAGACGAGGGCGTAGGTCCTGCCCAGCTCGGGACAAGGCCGCAGGGAAGATGGGGGGCAATTTCCCCCAGGAAAGCCACAGAAGCCTTCAGCCAATGGCTTGGGGAAGGACTCAAAGGCACAGGGGCCCTGCCCCATGCTCTGCAAGAACTACAGGCTCCAGGGCAGCTGACGCTTGCTAGATAAGTGTTTATTAAGGCACTAAAAGCACCGTGGCTACACCACGTACTGCCCCCTACAGGCAGGGCAGCTCCGGGTAAGGCAGCCAAGCTGCCAGCAAATGCATTTCCTAAGTCCTGGCCTGTCGATGCCGGCTTCACAGAGGGCTCAGCTCCTTGCCCCACGGCCCCACCAGTGAAGTAGCAGCTTCTGCAGGCACGGTGAGGGGCTTCCTCTTCCCCACGGGTTTCAGCTTCCCCCTCACCTCCGTGTTTGCAGAGTCCAGGTCAGTTCCACAGGGGCAGCAAGTCTGCTACTGCCTCGCCTGGGGACACTGCAGAGCCGGGAAAAGCCTTTGTGCAGGGGCACCAGACAGCATGGGGGCAGAGACCCACCCCACCTCTCAGCAGCCCTCGGGGGGCTGTGGGGCCAGGCCCAGTGTGTAGCCCAGGCAGGATAGCAGCTGCGTGGTGGCAGGGAACAAGGCCAGTAGTATCCAGTGCAGCTATGGGGCTGGTGTGGACTAGCTCCTTCCAGGACAGCCAAGAGCAGGCACCAGGCAGGCCTGGGCTCGGGGACTGTACGTGGGCCCTGCCCATGAAGCAAGGGCTTCCTGCACAGCGAGCCTAGGGGCTTGCAGCAAGGCCAGGGCTCCTGATAAGGGGGAACAGAGCAGCCCTACAGGATCCCCCCACCCACCCCACAGCTTCCAGCCAGCTAGCAGCCTGGCCAGTGGAGAGGCACCAGTCCCACGTGGGGGGCGTGGGGAGGGGGAAAAGGGTGGATCCAGCTGGCCACCCCATAGGGGCAGAGCAGCCCTGCTCCAGCTATGCTGAGCCCAAGGGTGGGAGAGGCTTGGACAGGTCCAGCCCCCAGGGGAGGTGCCTGGCTCCGTTGGCTGTGGGTACAGAAGGGAGGGGACAGGTGGCCCCAGCACTGCCTGGTCCCCCTGCGGGCCCAGGTGAGACACCAGAGGGGTAGAGAACAATCCAGACAGAAGACAGGCCATTGAGGGGCAAGAGAGCAGCAGGCTCTGCTTTGCCACCCAGGCAGGCCAGAAGCGGCACAGGGAGTGGCAGCTCCAGCCCCTGCTCCCTGGGGCCCCATGGAGCAAGAGAAGGGGCAGAGACAGGTGTGTGCAGGGCCAACGTGTGCAGTGTGGCAGCGGGAGCCTCCCCTTACACGTGGGAGAAGGCATGGCTCTTGCAGAGGGGTTTGTCCTTCTTGGAGTAGAACGTCTTCCCTTCCAGGCTGACCTGGCAGATCTAAGGAGAGAGCAGGAGGTCAAGGGAAAGACCAGCTCTCCCTCCACAACACCCCATCCACACCCTTCCCCCCCACCCCCGGCAGACCCCCGCCATAGCCCTCTGGGGGGGGGGGGCAGAGGGCAGCTGGAGCTGCCCCCAACACAGGCCAGCTCAGCGCAAAAAGCAGGTGCAGCCAATCCTGCTCATGCCACCGCCAGCGAAGAGGCTGGTGCAGAGTGAGGAGCCCCCCCTGGCAGGGGCCAGCCCCATCATCTCAGGGTGAGCAATAGCGAGGGGCTGCCGGGCTGCTCTTACCGCACAGACGAAGCAGGTGTCATGCCAGCTGAATCCCAGCGCCTCCAGGAACCGGTCACCAGCATCGATCTTGAAGTCGCAGCCGCGGCATTTTGTGCCAAACATCTTCTCGTAGTCTGGGGAGAGAGTGGACTGAGATAGGCCTCCCCAGAGCACCCCCCCCGGGAGAGCCGGGGGAGTCCGGAGGTTGCTTTGTGGGTGGGTTTTATTTGTGCCTGGCTCTAACTGGGGCTAACGCTCAGGTAGTGGGTGGCCATCCCCTGCCCCATTTTAACAGCTCTGCCAGCGCCCCTCAGTCCCGATCCGCAGCCCCTGCCAGCCCAGCCCAGGGCTCCCCCAGCGCCCCTCAG